GATTAGTTTGTAAAATGTAAAACTGTATTTATTAGTGTGTGCGCTATTACCTACTCTGTATTTATTTTGTATATATTTTGGTCTTTATGGCAACACCACTACTTACAAATGCATTTTCCGGGTGTACCCCAATGCCCCCTCTTTTTTTGTTTTTAAATTCAATTAAGCACAAAGATTATGAAGGACAAATACAAATTGACTATTAGAGTATTGGAGCCATCTTGTGGTCATTGTTGGCATAAGTCTGCCAAATTTTCTACACATAAATAAATGGGCAGATAAATATAGTTGTTAAATGTGTTATCTGCATATACATGTTTGAAAAAAAGACCACCTACCTCTGAATACTTCTCTTCTACAGATTTCAACAGGGATCTCCTTTTGTTAGACAATAAAAAAATTATGTGTCAAACCTATCTCTATTATTTTTAAAACAAAAATGATGCAACACAACCTACAAAACATACAGAAAACACAAACAAAGCACTCTCTGTAGCCTAAGTTTCCGATGTATGCTTCTAAATGTATCCACATCTGCTGTCTCTTTATATGGGGAGTTGCAAAGTGATTAAAGGCTGCTGTAGTGGTTATGGTGCCACAAGTGGCCTGGGGCCTTCCCAGTGCCAGTAGTCGCACACCATTTAAGAAAGGCTTTTCAACTTATTTAAGATCTGCAGGGTGCTGGTTACCTTCAGAAACATCTTCTGGGAACGCAACTAGCTTATTAGGCGACTGCTACTTTTGGGAGGACGTCAGCCATGATAACCTATTCCATTACTAATTCTGAGTTAGATTTATTCTACTTTCATATCTTCATAGGTGGCCTAGACTCTGAGCCTGAAGCTTGTGAGCTAAGTACCTTATACAATGCTGCAGTGCTTAAAGGACCACTATAGTGCCAGGAAAACATACTCATTTTCCTGGCACTATAGTGCCTTGAGGGTGCCCCCACCCTCAGGGTCCCACTCCCGTGGTGCTGAAGGGGGAGGAAGGGGTTAATCCCTTACCTTTTTTCCAGCGCCTGAACTCTCCTCCCTCTTCTTCCATCATCAGCTGAATGCATTCAGCCAGTCTCATAGGAAAGCATTATCAATGCTTTCCTATGGACGCTGGGTCTTCTCACTGTGAAAAATCACAGTGAGAAGCACGGAAGCGCCTCAAGCGGCTGTCAATGAGACAGCCACTAGAGGCTGGATTAACCCATAGGTAAACATAGCAGTTTCTCTGAAACTGCTATGTTTACTGCAAAAAGGGTTAATCCTAGCTGGACCTGGCACCCAGAACACTTCATTAAGCTGAAGTGGTCATCTAAGTCTAGATTTTATGTTATATATATGTGTAAACTCTGACTGTCTCTCTCATTTGCAACAAATATTCATGATCTTTACAACTGCAATGCTTTGTTTCACAGAAATGAAACAGTCTTCATTTGTAAACTGCTGGGGAAGTATCTGTGCCCTAAAGGCATTCGATAAGATCAAGTTATTTTGGTGCTTAGATTGTTCCTTTTATTGAAGCTACCCTGTAATTTCAATTAACCTCTATGAATAGTTGAATTGATAGTTTTCAGTAGTTTAGTCATGGCTACTGTTCAGCTTTCACATAGACTACAGGACAACTGTATATCACCTCAAATCCCATGAACAGCAGTTGTTTAAGTGGGTTACATACAGCTTTTGGTTTCTTTTAGAAGTGAGAGATAACAGGTTTAAGATGAAGGGAAAATTGTAATTTACATCTGTAATGGATGATGATTTTTTTTTTCTTTACTATATTTTATCAGATATTCTTGCTCACTTAATTTTTTGCACTGCATATGCTTTTAAACATCAGCTCTTTCAACACCATAAATTAAGTGGCAGGACAGAGCCATCAAACCATTATCAAATATTTAAAAGTAATACACACAAAAAAAATTGCACTCCAGCTTAAAAACACACAAACAATTTACATCTGATCGGTCTGCAATTTTACTACAAAACTCGATATAACCAATAAAAATTTTTTTTTTTTTTAAATCCGAAAACATTGAATACACTTATATCAACATATTTTCAAAACCATGAATAAATTTATTGTAAATATTTACAGACTCACATGGATAAAACTGGTTTTAAAACAACCTTTATACAAAGTGAGCATTCTTACAATTTTCAATGAGCCCTTGCAGTTGGTTGTGATTTTAATTTTTATATTGAATCATATAGGGATAGTTATGAAGTTATTTTATCTGGTAATCAAACTTCGATACACACATTGGCAGCATGATGCGATGCACGTATAAAGATGCATTAAGCATATTTTCCAAAGTTATATCTATTTGGAGAAACTGTTTGTGACCTAATATATTTCCTTATAAATTATAGTTTTTTTAAACTCAGGAGACCACTGTTCTTTGAGCATAAAATATATATGTAGAGTCCTAAAGAAATGCCCCATGCTTTGTATAGAAGTCTCAGTATTGCTGAAAATCCATCAGATGACCATTTTATTGCAATGGATAATACAAAACAATGATATGGGTTGAAAATACCTTATTAATCCTTTTGATGGCAGGTTTTACTCATGAGAAGAACACTACGTTTAAGAAGAAAGGGGTATAGAAAGTAGTGTAGTGTAAATATCATTTAAAATATATATGTATTTTTTTTTTTTAAATGCCCTTATAAATGTCATGCGGATAGACCTGCCAATAAAGCTCTAATGGAAGAAGAAATGTAGTGTAGGGCCACATCTACTATAACAACTGTTCCATGGGAAATTAGTTTCACAATTAAGACTTTGTTTCTTTGTACCGCACACAGCTTTGTGTGGGTTTTGGATTTTTTTTTTTTAAGCACTCCCTTTTTCTTACAAGGCTCTGATGCTGCTAATATTCTACATACCATTCTATATACCCTCTCCAAAATTTCCATATTACATGGAGATTCATACATTTCTGCCTTGATTAATGTGTGCTGTGATGTCTACTTTTTGTTTTGTCCAATATTTTGGCTTTCAAGGTTTATTTATTATGACCTGTAGATTTACCCAGATTGTCCAAGGCAAATGATTTAATCACACAAACGTGTGCATTGAATAGTTCTAAGAATTAAACAAAAACTATACAAGCATGCATAACAACATTAAACTGTGAGTGAAACACAGTTGCAAAAATTATTTCTGATTGCTATAGCACATTAGAGAACACATACATATACATATATATATACATATACATATATATATATATATATATATATATATATATATATATATATATATTTTGTGTAACAAAAGCCCATGAACAGTCTACGCTGGAGGCTCAGAAACACTGATTCAAAATAAAACAAAACTCATGAAGAGAAAAAAGTTAATTGCCCTTATACATTTACATCTCTATTACTGTAAAATTTTCAGTGTTTCCTCTTTGAGCAGAAACACAATTGTAAACAATGAGAGATGACTTATGACCATGCAATAACCTCTCTTAGGACATACCTTTAATTAATAGTGTATTCTGATTTTTCTATTTGATTTACTTTAAAATTCTGTTTGGAGAAACTGTTTGTGACCTAATAGTTTAACATTAAGCAGCCACTCTAGAAATTAGCTAACTGTAATACCATTAAACATTTATTTGAGTTAACTTTATGTGATATTCCATTCTTTTTAAATGTATATATTAAATATTTAGCATTTTACATTACAATCCAATTCAGTCCTGGCACAGCCAGGGCACATAATGCATAAGAGTAGAACAGAAACATTATTTAGATTTCTTGTTTTTAACTGATTATGTTGGAAGGCAAAAAGGGACAATGATTCATAAGGAGCCAAGGCTAAAGTGGACAGTTCCAAAGCAGATAAGTGCATTTTTATATTTTATTTTTTTCAAACCTCACAAAAATATATTTGCTAACTACAGGGGATAAATAAACAGAATATTAAAAATCCTGGGAAGGAACAGTTCCCCTTAAAGTAGAATGTTTTAATCCAGTGACTACATAACCATTTACAGGAAAATATTTGAAAATAAAACTAAATAAAGTCAATCTAAAAAACTGTTTGTAAAACTAATTTAACTACATACAGAACACCTTAGTACAAAGTCAAAACTTAATTTGGGAGGTGAGGGGCAACAACAAATGAAGCAACATCATTTTTATATGTATTTCTTAAATCCATTATCTCTATAAGGCATTTAAAAAACAATTTAGACAAACCCAGTCTGAAGCATTTCATTATGTCAAGACATAAAGCCAGGAATTATATGACAAGAATTGGAAGAGCATGTATATGTGCATGTAGAAAAAAAATAAAATAATTTGGTTGCTATCACCAGGAATGCAAGAGTCAAGTGAGTCAATAATGGATTGGTAAAAAACAATGGATCTGAATAAACACTTACATGTTTATAAACCGTGTCCTGGTGAAAAGATTAATTGAAAACATGGTTAACATATTTCTCATTTAAACCAAAGATAAATAATGTTTCACTATATACACAATAGTTCATTATAAATACATGGTGTATTTTTAAGTGGCCAGTTTACATGGGAATTATGGTAACTTTTATATCATAGCCTGATAATGGTTTGGAGTATTAGCTGCAGAACTACTAATCTTATTAATGTAATTTAGAAAAAAAAAAAAATTCATACAACTTTAAATGATTATCCAAGAACAAGATAAGTAAAAATTTTCACTTGCAAGCCCTCATTCCAGCATAAACAAAAATATAATTGCTACTTTCAATAAAGAAAGCAACCTTCAAGCTAGAACCAAAACATGAAAGCCTATGTTAAAACAGTGCATGCACTGAACATTGATTTAATAAGAAATTTTATAGAGAAGTTTGGACAAAGCTGAAAGAATATCAGCTACATTATGGATGCGCTTCCCATATTTAATTTGCTTTTCATTTGCCTATGTTAGGATAACAAACTGTACAAATTACAATCTTTCAATCACTTCTTACAAACAAAATATACAATGGTGCAAATAGAAGAGGTAAGCATTCATATAATTGTTACGTTGGAAGTCTTTGTATTTTCTTCTGGACAGTGATTGTTGGTTAGTTCTTTAATAAACTGTTCAAGTGCAGCAAAATATCCTTGGCACTGCCATGTATCATTGTGTGTCCCATCTGGAAATATTGCCAATCTTTTAGTCCGGGCTGGAGACAGTTCATACAATTGCTTCATCATAAATGGAGGGATTAATTGATCAGACAACCCAGAAATAAACAAGGAAGGCATTCGGCATTGGGAAACTTTCCTGTAAGACAAGAACTTATTTTTGTAGCACCACAAAGGAAGATACCTCATTGGGAGGAAGGAAAACAAGGTACTGGCCATATGAGGAATGCTAAGAAAAGTATTTTCTAACATTATAGCACAAATTCTGTGTGCATTTTCTGAAGCCAGATGGATAGCCACTGCTCCCCCCAAGGAGCGTCCAAACAATATAATCTTTGTTTTATCTATGTCAGACCTAGTCATAACATAATCTAGCACAGCCTCTGAGTCCAGATGCAGACCCTCTTCATTTGGCTCTCCATCACTTTTTCCATATCCTCTGTAGTCAACTAATAGCAAGTTCACTTTCAAGTTCACCAGCATCAACAAAGCATTTGGTAATCTATGGCCTATATTCCCTGCATTACCATGAAAATAAATAATAGTAGGTGAAAAGTTTGCATTATCTCCAGTGTATCTCAGCAGAATGAGGTTAAGATGCACACCATCTTTTGTTTTAATAAATATATTTTCATGTGGTATCCCTGTTGGCATTGGGACGTAAAGCCGGGATGAAGATGGTTGGTCAGGAAAATAGAGAAGCACATCTTGAAATTTAAAAAGTATTCCAGCTATTGAGACAAAGATTAACAGTAGTAAAACTATCCCACCGTACATATTAAACGTTAAAATTAAAGGCAAGAGACATATTCGACACAGTCCCCAGGACCAGGATGCTAATGCCAACAACCATCTTTCTGCACAAGCCCAAAAAACCCAATGCTTTTCCATTCTGTTCTCGGTGTGTTTCAGTCTCTAAATGGAGTCCTAAAAAACAAAACAAATATGCATTTAGTTGAACAAACATTATTTAGTAACCAAATAAAATTGGTACTGTTTAATGCATTCCTATGTTGATGTTTTTTTAAATAAACCATATCTTGATGTCAAGTACACAGTTGCAAAACATATGTATATAAAGTAAGTCAAAGCAATGTTTAGAAGCAATTATACATTTAAGTCAGCTGATGTGGGTGGGAAGCTTAGCAGCAGGGCAACAGATGAGAGGATTCTACATTCTATAATTTATTGGTTGCTAGCTTTTTCTTGAACTAATGGAACAAAGCTAGAGAAAAGGAGGTGATGTAAATACCTCCAGTATCTCACAGCAATAAAAATAGTATACATGCCGAAATGCATAGGAACATTTCTATACAGAGTTTTAAATAAACGTCAAGAAGAGGTAGTAATGAACCTATCTGTTATGAAATAGTTTTTTGGAGAAAAAAAATCCCTACATTTCAACCTTAAACACAGGCATGTTCTAGCCACAAATACTGAAGTAATAGGGCAGATAGCCAATACTTAGCATGTCACCTATTCATAGCAGCATTAATGCCTATAAATGAGAAGATGTAGATGGACATAAAGGGACATTCATAGCACCAAAACAACTTAATTGGAATTGAGCTGTTATGTTCTGAAGCGGTCCTGGTTGCCTGAAAGTGATAAACTGTTAACAACCAAAGTGATCAAGCAGGTGCCAGATCGCTCTGCCTATTCTGAGGCTTCCTGATTCCTCGTACCGCTAATAGGCTGAGAAGGTCAGTAACTCCCCATTGAGAGAAAGGAAAAAAAAAGACAATAAAAGAAATAAATATGTATGTTCAAGAAGTAACTCAAAATACAAAACAAGGCAACCTCCTCAATTACAGAGATGCATTTACCTAATTTATGAAGTTACATTGCTGCATATTTAGCTCACACGAATCAGATACAATATTTAGAGGGCTGAATTAACACATCTAAGGTTCAATTGGCTCTGTCCCTTTTTTTTCCCATTGGCATGTCCAAAAACCCCTCCCTGCTGTTTAAAAAAAATAAAAAATAAATTATAATGCATATTTTCAAAGTTATACTTAAAGGATCACTATAGTGTCAGGAAAACAAAACTAGTTTTCCTGGCACTATATAATCCTTAGGTCCCCCCTCCCTCAGGGTACCGCTCCCGCTGGGCTGAAGGGATTAAAACCCCTTTAAACCACTTACTTTTATCCAGCGCCGGGCTCCCTTGGCGCTGTTGACCTCTCTTGCCCCTCCGACGTCAGCTCCCGAGTGGAGCCGAATGCGCATGTGTAGCCAGAGCAGCGCACGCATTAAAAACGCCCATAGGAAAGCATTTCTCAATGCGATTTTCGCATTGAGCGTCACAGAAGCGCCTCTGGCGGCTGTCAGGAAGACAGCCACTAGAGGCTGGATTAACCCTGCAATGTAAACATAGCAGTTTCTCTGAAACTGCTACGTTTGCATCTGAAGGGTTAAAACCTGAGGGACCTGGCACCCAGACCACTTCACTGAGCTGAAGAGGTCTGGGTGACTATAGTGATCCTTTAAGGAAAAGTAGTTTTCTTTATGTCTAACCTGCAGACTGATAAAAGTGTGATGTAGTGTGAAGCTTTAATCAAGCTCCACTGCCTTTGTCAACTTTGTTTTTGGCTGGTAAACCTATACTCAGCTTCTTCCAGCATCGTGTCACTTCTGGGAGCAGCTTGTCTTGAATTCTCTCTGTTGATTCTTCTGCAATCACAAGAGTCTATACAGGTTCATTAGAAACCTGGGCATGCGTGTGATTGTATGCGCACACCCAAAGAAGGACAGAACATTTTATTTTTATTTTTTTAACCACAACATCTTAAAAATTCAAAGGTGACAACCCAATGAAAGAAGACTAGGCAGGACCAGCACAACATTAAAAAAAGTAACTTGCAAAAGTCCCAAAGCCAAAAATGGCTGTAGGGACTTTAGGGAAGGATCACTGAACTGTAGGTTGTGGAAGTTGTAGTAGTTCTAATGCTTCGAATGTCCCTTTAAAAATTTATATTTTTTGTTTTTACAGTTAGAGTGATCTTTTAAAATAAGGGCAGCCAAAGCGTACATGTGGACTATATTTATAACCCATTAAAAATAAACAAATAAATGAGAAATCAATCAGAGAAATGCATGATTAAGGCTCTTAGGAGCCGAAACGTCGCACTTATATATCCTGGAGTGCTGCCTGTGTTTTTCTTCTTTGATATATAAAAATGCTAAAATAGTAATCACTGTATTAAATTATACAACACTTTAGGGCAGCATTTCCCAATACATACAAACACCAAATGTACACACAAATGCACAACTGCTCCTAAGTACTAATATCTGTTTACTATTTGCTCTACGGCGCCAAAAATTGTTTGGAAACCCCTGCCCTATAGTATCCATTTCCTTTGCCAAATGTATCTAATGTGCATTATTAGTCTTGCAAGAAGACACCTTTGCAATCAACAGAGTAACAATAGATAGGAAACAGCAAGTATGATATTAGTTATAATAATCCCATAATAATTTGCTTTTCAAAACTAATTTCTCAGAGCTAGAGGCTAGGCAAATCCAAATGTCTGAAGCATCTTACTTCTACATAAACAAGACAGTTAATAATGACACACTTCCCAAGTGAGCGCATTTTTTTTTTTTTTTTTAAATCCTGCATTGTCACGCTAAGGTAAGGATTAGTTCTGCCATATACAACGACAGAAAATGTACTTGTAGCATAGGATATTATGAAAGCGGCACTGACGCATTTTGACTGTACTAGAATTTAACCAACATAGAACTCAATGCTGTACATTCACGCATGAGTAAAAGTAGAGCAGTGATGTGGGTTCAAGAGGATCCGCCAGAAAAAGATGAACTCGCCCTTACCCGCCAACCGACTCCCAGCTGTGATGTCACCATCGGACGTCTTTGCAAATTCTGCAAAGTCCCCAGAAAGTGACAGTGCCTCTTCAACATACATGAACCAAGCATATGCGCTTTTCATTCCTTAAATGATTATTAACCTACAATGACATACCTCTGTTGGAAATAGTCACAGTGAAAGAGCTGATCTCTTGTCTAACGCCAAATGTCTCCAGTATCGCCTTGGCAGGGAGGATTACCCAGCAATGTGGTATGGGGACCAGCTTGGGATGGCACGGCAGCAGTCGGTCTAGAATAACAAACAGTTCCTGTACAGATTGTATATGGCAACATTAGCCAAACATACCCCAAGCAAAGCAGCATTTGCAATATGTTACACTGGACAGCAAGCTCACAGCAAAATACAAATTAGAATTATTCCCTCAACACATATCTCACGGTAAGCCAGTGTGCATTATTGTGTGCTGCACACATTTATCTGGCAGTACACACTGTGATGGTGGGTGTCAGTGTCAGTGTGTGCTATGCGAGCCCTGCTCGGGCCTTTACCCTGTCACTGCTGTCACTGCTCTCTCCCTGGGGCCGCCTGCTGGCACAGCTCACGTGGCATGAAACGGCTGGATCCTCACGGCCTCTCATCCCATCGCGCTTTTGCCTCCTCCATCTAACATTTGTCGCTCCTGTTCCGGGAACAGAGCTGTTACGTCATTCATGCCAACCTCAGCACTGTCTAGCGAGAGGGGCGCCATGATAACTAAGGGCAAATATCATTCAGGTAACGAGCCCTGGCATTTCACTTCTCCTACTCAGAGTCGGGTACGTTTCCTATGAATCAAAATTATTTGATTCGTGGTAAGTCAGATAAGTAAAGAATCTGTTCGGCAGTTAAAAAAAAAAAGTTATGTTGGGAAATCAAAGATGGCGCTTGCAGACTCAACGTATGTGACAGGAGGGTTAGCGTAAACTTAGAGTTCTACACATATACACAAACGACAGAGCCATTTACCTAACGCTCTAGTCTCTAGTGTTTAAAACGAAATACCCGGGGCCGTCGGCGGATGATGACGTATAGACGTGTCAGTGTTTCCCAGCAGGGCTAGGCAGTGCAGTGACAGCACGTAGACCGAGCAGGTGAGCAAAAAGGAAGGAGAGCTCTTGTGGTTTTTAACGAATTTTATGACAACTGTTCTATAACGATATCCGTTTCAGCGCAATTTAAACATTTAAAAACTTAGTCTAAAAGTGAAATGTGTTTATATATAAATGTGTGTATATATATATATATAATTTTTTTTTTTTAAATTTTATTACTTATTTATTTTTTCTATGCAGAAACATTTTTCATAACATATTCAACAGGATAAAGTTATGTTAGTTTTTGGTATAGGACTTTTATTTATTTATATATATATATATATATGTGTGTTTTTGTTTTTATTTTACTTTTAGAATGTTGATGCAAGTTTGTCAATCACATAGAAACATAGAATGTGACAGCAGTCTGCCCAACATTTTTATTGAGCGGTAAGGATGGTTAAAGGCGAAAAAAACATGTACAATTATATACAGTAGTTACCAGTGGTACCTCGGTTTACAAACGCCTCGGTTAATATAATTTTCGGTTTACAATTTTTTTTTGCAATACAAAGAAAGTTTCACCAGGATGCATTGCACCTGGGAGGTTTATAGCACCGCCCCCGTGCATGCTGGACCCTGTGGGTAGCACGTGGCATTGAGTGTGGAGGTGTTGGAGCGGCTTTTGCATTGAGATTTGACGTCATTCTGGAAAAATTTTGCAGCTGTTTTGGGACTTTTTTGAATTTTTGGGGTGCATTTCTCAAGCAGTGGAATGGTAGGGAACTGAGCTTTGTCGTTTTCATGCCTTGTTAATGTGTGTTCTGCATTGTGGGTTGGTTTCCATGCCAGCTCATTTTTACTTTTTTCTGACTTCCATAATGGATTAATTTGTTTTCAATGCATTCCTATAGGAAACCGCGTTTCGGTTGACAAATTTTTCACAATATAAAACGACCCATTGAACACATTAAATTCGTAAACCGAGGTACTACTGTATATGTAAGTCTAAGGATTAAAAAGTAACTTGTACAGCTTATTAGCCACTCAACAATATTTCAACAGGGTTTGCAACTGGTAAATATGAGAATTCTTTTTTATTTATTTTTTTTTAACCGAATTTTGATAACCTGCACTGCATTTGATCCTTAGTAATTAGCAAACTGAGAAGGGAATGACACTAAAATAGCCAAGCTTACTTTAGCTTAATAGAATCTATGTTTATTATCCCTTTATTTGTGCTATTTCCACAAATTCCAGATTCCAGTTCCCTTTAGATTGCATTAAATGATGATTTTCAATTAAATTTATGTAATCCCCGTTAATATGTGTATATGACAGATACCATATGTCACTGATGGTATACATTCAGTGCACACTGTCCGGCCAGCCGATGGGGGATTGATTAATAATAAGCCCCAGGAAGTGGCAGAATATAATAACCTTATTAGCTGTCATAGCAGTTGACATATCCGGGTTACCCCCAGACCAGGCTGCGGGTGGCATGGCTCCCATTGTCCGACAGTAGTGCCTGTCACAGTAACTCACCTGCACAGTGCCTAGCGGGGTTCAAAGTAGCAGAGCGGTGGTGCACGGGAGTTTTAGCTTGGGAGTTTTAGCCTTAGGCGTGCGGTGGTTTAAATGTTACAGTACAGACTGCAGCTCACACCTGGCGGAGCTTCAGACTGTACTGGCTCTCTCCCAGGGCAGACGCACCTGACAAGTCTCGCTGCCCAAATTTTCGTCAGCTTTGACCCATTTTCGGCCATTCCAGTACTGGTGTCACAAGGGGTTTTTGCCCTTTCAGAGCACCTTAAGAGTTGCAGAGCAGAATTAATGTGAGTGGAAACTGAGCTGCAATGCCCTAACTCCTCGAACACTGTATTCGAACCTAGGACACAATGGGAAGCTGTTCCTGATATGCAACAAATCCCACTACTTGAGGCAGCCCGAGGGGGCTCCAGTATACAAGCTCTGTAGGCATGTGGATAATGGCTTGGATGCGACTGTAAGTGGTGTCCAAGCCCGGAAGAAGAGCAGTGAGTCAAGGCAGCATTCTGGGTTAGCATGGATACAGCAACTGTTGGGGTGCGATCGTGGCAAAATATGCAATGGCAAAACATTCGGCAGATGGCCTCAAATCTTGCAGAGGTGTTCCTCCACTTCTGGCCCTCTGTTGGCAGTAGATGAGCTCCATTGAGGCGGCCATCTTGGATACACCACATTGTCTTCAAGATTTCATGGTTTAATTTCAGCAGACATGTATGCTACCCTGCAGGTACCAGGATAACACCCACCGGTCCGGATTAGGGGAGGGAGGGAACGTTGCATTGGGAGACATTATGCGAGTTGCTAAGGTGGGAGATCTTCCACTTCTCCCAGCCCCCGGGCCGCCGAGAACACTAGGCAGAGCCAGACAAGGTGAGAGCCCCTCTGGCCAAGGTAACAAGCCATTTCATCTCATGGAATTGGTTTTAGTGCCTGTAGATTCAAACCACAAGTCTAATATGATAACAAGGCATATAAGACACAAATAAGTCCCTTGCATAGTTACATAGGCTGAAAAGAGACATTCGTCTATCAAGTTCAGCCTTCCTCACAATTTGTTTTTTTTGCTGTTGAACCAAAAGAAGGCAAAAAACTTCAGTTTGAAACACTTCCAATTTTGCAACAAACTTGGGGAAAAAAAATTCCTCCTTACCCCAGAATGGCAGGCAGATTTATCCTTGGATCAAGAAGCTATTACGCTACAGTTGAAAAATTATATAATTGAATATTCTGTTTTTGCAAGTATGCATCTAGTTGTCGTTTAAACATCTGTATGAACTGTGATAAAACCACTTCTTCAGGCAGAGAATTCCACATCCTTATTGTTCTTACGGTAAAAAAATTTTTAATTTGCCTTAGATAAACTCTTCTTCTTTCTTCCTGTCTAAACGCATGACCTTGTGTCTTATGTAAAGTCTGGTTTGTGAATAGATTTCCACACAATGGTTTGTATTGGCCCCAGGCAAATTTTTTCTAAACTGAAGCTGTTTAAAATTGTTAACCTTTCGTAATAGCTAAAATGTTCCATTCCTTTAATTTTGTAGTCTGCCTCTGCACTTCTTCTAGTACTGTAATATCCTTCTTTAGAACAGGTGCCCAAAATTGCACAGCATATTCAAGATGTGGTCTTATCAGTGGCAAAATGATTGTTGGCAAAATGATTGCTGTCTACCAGTGCTTTATTTTATTTTAATTAAGTGTTCTTGCAAGAACACTTGTTATCTCACATATATATTATTATTAAGTGTTCTTGCAAGAACACTTATTGTTATCTCACATATATATTATTATTCTTATTAAGTGTTCTTGCAAGAACACTTATTGTTATCTCACATATATATTATTATTAAGTGTTCTTGCATAGCAAGACCACTTAATGTTATCTCACATATATATTATTATTATTATTATTATAGCAAAATTTGCCACCCTAACTCTTCCCACAGTTTTTACACTACATAGACCAAAATTTACCAAAACGTGCAGATTGTTCCCGATCGGATTGCTATTACTTTGTGGAACATTTCGCCGAATGGTTCACGGAATATCGTCGTTCTTTTGGCGCAATTTGTCCCATAGGAATGAATGGCAAAGCTAGAGTGGGAGCTGGCAAAAGCTGAAAAATCAGGACATGATTTCTAAACTACCACCACTCCCTTATTTACAGGCCCACCTACACAAATCATATATCAAAACGTTCAGCTATCCATGCTGCCACTAAACATGTCAACGGCTAAGCCATAGTCCTGATAGTTTTCACAATATAATCATTTGTTTGCAACTAACGCCGTCCATTGACATTCATTGAAACTTCACTCTACAAAGCTCAAATTTGAAGTGCAATTTCTAAACTGCGACTGTGCCTTCATTTTTAATACTTCAGAGATATACTATGCATCGGAATGTAGGACTGGGTCTTGTGATTCTCACAATATAAAGCTCTTCGCTGTAAGATTTATAGTTTTTAAAATACGACCGTTTGAAGATGGCAACTGCCAAAATACTCTGACCTGTGCCAGGCTGCAGCAGCAAGTGATGTCATAGACAGGGCCTTTTGAACACCTGCTAATGTTTTCTATAAATGTATGGTTTAATGTAACTGTGCAACAACGTTGCAATTAAATGTGCTATATAAATGATAACAGTTACGTCGCCCACTCCAGTTGTAGACTACTGGTGGAGGCAAGAACACTTCACACAATTTCCCCAGAAATTGTAGCTTTTCTAGTTTATTTTTGTTGTGCAGGTGAGTACAAAACATAGTCATGCACCACAACAGCGAAGAATAATATGGAAACATAGGTTGAACAGTGGCTCTGAAAACTTGCACATTTTTTTAAAGGTAATATTAGTTACGTAGGTATGTCTAAGCGATAACCAATTATTTAAGAGTAAATATGCCTGTAGCATCCTGACAGATTTGGTAGACAGGGTTACACATATGTGTGAAAGCAATGCTCTAGCATAAACATTCATGCCCTCCTGTAACGTCTTATCATGCTTGCTTCTGTCCTAAACTCACAGTCTGTTAACTCACAGTTTAGTAGCTCACAGTCTGCCCTAGCGTTATCTAGTGTTCATAATATGGGCTAACATATATGCAGCTGATAGGCCCCTGACGTAGCATTGGTTAAAACTAAACATATATGCATTATGTGTGGAGCTAAAAAGACTCTGCTAATCTTAAGTGGGATCAATAACATAACATTTTTAACTTGCTATAATTTTCTTGCGTTTGTGTCGCTGGGTTGTTTGTGGCCTCTGTTAGAGAACATAGTGCCAACACACCAGGCTAGGGTTGATACGCGTCTGTTGAATAAAATACATAAAATAAATGCAAGGTAATAAATGATTATTGAGTAGAAGGGTATCACTACCAGTGCTTTATAAAGAGGCTACTGCTGATTGACATTGCACATTGTTGCATAGTTTGTTGTCTATAACAATTTCCAAGTCTCGTGTGTTGTTATCCCTTATTCGCTTCAATTAAGGGTATAAGTTGCTTGTGCATCCTTTACGCCAAAGTGCATAACTGCCTTTTTCTACATTAAATTTCATCTTCCTTTTGAGTGCCCAGTCCCCCCGCCTATCTAAATCCCTCTGCAGCAAAGTAATATCTTGTATTACGGTAGAGTTTGGTGTCAAAAGCAAACACTGAAACATGACTTTCAATGCTTTTTTTAACTTCTTGAGGACTGAACCAAATGTACACGTTGTGATCAAAACGTAAACAAAAACTGGAATTTGCGCTATACGTCTGTTCAGGCGTAATTCACCTCTTTCATATTATGTGCACCCACACTTATTATATATAATTTTATTCAGGGGAAACAGGGCTTTCATTTAACATCAAATATTTAGGTATGAAACCTAATTTAATATGAATAAAATATAAAAAAAATGGGGGAAAATAAGAATTTTTAAAAATGTTTTAGTTCTACGTTCTACGTGACATTCTAACTGTGAATTTGTATTCAGGGATCTCTCATGTGTAAAACAGTACCCCCTATGTACAGGTTTTATGATGTTTTGGGAAATTACAGAGTCAAATATAGCGTGTAAAATTTTTCATTTTTTTAACATTGAAATTTGCCATATTGGTTACGTTGCCTTTGAGACCGTAAGGTAGCCCAGGAATAAGAATTCCCCCCCTGATGGCATACCATTTGCAAAAGTAGACAACCCAAGGTATTGCAAATGGGGTCTGTCCAGTCATTTTTAGTAGCCACTTGGTCACAAACACTGGGCAATGTTAGTGTTAATATTTGAAAATGCAAAAAACTAATTTGAACGCAAATTTTTGCCAGTGTTTGTGACTAAGTGGCTACTAAAAAAGACTAAACATACCCCATTTGCAATACCTTGGGTTGTCTACTATTGCAAATGGTATGCCATCGTTGGGGTAATTTCCATTCCTGGGCTACCGTACGGTCTCAAAGGCAACATACCAACCTGGAGAATTTCAGTGTGCAAAAAACTGAAACACGGGCCTTATATTTGACTCTGTAACTTTTGAAAACACCATAAAACCTGTACACGAGGGGTACTATAATACTTGGAAGACTTCGAAGAAAACAAAACATATCACAACAATTATATCGTCAGTATAAGTGCCATTTGTGTGTAAAAAATGCAAAAAAATTCACTTTCACTGACTATATCGTCGTTGTAATAAAGTTTACTGTTTTGAAACACTAATATTTTGTGTTCCGCGAAGTCTTCTGAGTAAAACAGTACCCCCCCATGTACCGGTTTTATGGTGTCTTGGAAAGTTACAGGATTAAATATAGTGCTAGCAAATTAAATTCCCTGAACATTCGGCCTGGGTTGTCAGGCAGGTCCTGCAAATTGTAATTAATAAAATGACCTAATTATGTAAAATTATTACAGAATATATACGTAGAATTTTAAATCTATATAAATGTGTGTGTGTGTGTATATATGTATAATTTTTTAAAATTATTTTTATTTATATATAGGTGTGTGTGTGTATATATAGAGGATATATAGATAGATATTATTTCGTTCTACATGTATCCACGCTTTAAAGTGGTACTTACGTGAAGAATAGTCTAAAAATATAGTTTATAAGACAATAGTATAGTGATAATTGTTTATTTTGGAATGTTTATGTACATATGGATGTGTGTGTGTGTGTATTTACTATATATATATGTGTGTATAATTTAAATAGTTATGGAGGTGTGTGTGTGTGTGTGTATATGTGTATATATGTGTGTGTATATATATATATATATATATATATATATATATATATATATAAATATGTGTGTGTATATATGTTGCTGATTTAGATATGCTTACACTGATTCGTATGGTTATAATACATATTATCAGTGAGGAATTGATATGCTTTATATAAGATGTCACTTTAATGCACTTTTTTTGGATCTTTAATCTATATTGAATGTTTATCACTATTAGCACTTTATTGTATAGGCATATGTCACATTCTTAGTATCACTATATAGTGAGATCTCTCACTACTCTATTTCACAGACACAGTTGGTTCTCAGATGCCTGTCACTTTATTATCACAGTCACGGATTGCACTTAGACACCTATCACTTTATTGATACACTTCTATTCCGTTCATGAGATACTTTATGGCTGCACAGTTTCATTTCACACACAATAATAGGCACACTACATAGCTACACATGCTATTCTATATTTCATCTTCACGATCTGTCATTGTAGCATGCCCTCGATTTCACAGATATGCTTCACAGTAAGCTGCTTGTTTTTATTCCCATAGCGATGCCATAGTTACCCGCGTCGCTATGGGAATGAGCGCAACGTCATCACTCTATGACATCACTTAGGGGCGGAGCTTGGTTCCACATGCGTACACGGCAGAACGCCGGTTAGATGGCAGTTTCACCTGGGGGTAAGTTAACCACTTAACGACGAGTGACGGATGAGGTCCATCACTCAGGGGATTGCTATAACGACGAGTTACCGACCTTGTCTGTCACCCGTTAAAATTAGCCCCGGATCGCCGCTATCGCGGGGTTAATGGTGCTCCGGTCTGCCTCTGTATTAGCCCCTTCCCTGCTTGTCGATTACTGCCTACTGTGATCAAAATACAGATCACAGTATTATACCGTGATCTAATTTTTTTTTTTAACCCCTGAGGATTAACTTTTATTTATTTTGTATCCCTCAGGGGTTCAATTTATTTAATTAATTTAAATATTTTATTATTATATATATTTTAGCTAGCCGGGGTGGGAGTTATGGGAAATTTGGGAATTTACTGTTAGTGCTGCTTACTGCTAGTAAGCTTTAAGAAAGTTTAGGAAAGTTTTAAAAAAACATTAATAAGCAAAACAAAAGTTTAAAAACTAGTTTTTCAAAGTAAAAAAGTTTCAAAAAGTAAAAAAATACATTTAAAAACGCTCATTACCACTACTAAGGTTCAAAATATGCCTTTTGAATTAACCAAGGGTGTATTCTTTAATAAATAGTATGTGTTTGTGGGGAAGTTTCAATAACTGTCACAGCCCCCGGCTCGCCGCCATGTGCGTCTGTGCACGACCGCACCAACTCACTGAGCTTACCTGCTCAGCGTCGAGAACCGTTCCTCCACGCCGCTCGGGGAAATCCAAGATGGCGCTGACCATGAGTTCGCGTCCATCCATGGCTCCACCCCCCAAAATTATATGAAAGTGCGCGTGACGTCACGACGTCAACGCACGTGCACGTTTTGGGTCAGAGGTCACCCTCTGACCAATCAGAGCCTAGAGAGGGATATTTAAATCCTTAATTCACCCCAGTACCTTGCCCTGTCATGGTTTCCTGTTCCTGGTTCCCTAGAGTACGTTTATCTTTGTGAATATTACTTCCTGGTTTCCTGATCTTGGCTTTTCCCTGGTCATTCCAAATTCTGGTTCCCCTGACTTGGCTTGTTGAAACGTTATCTGAGTATTTCTGGCTTCCTTGGCTTTCCCTTTGACCATTCTCTAGCGTCTTAGTCCGGCGATTCTAAGGTCCGGTTTACGCTCTGTCCTTTTATTTCCTTTCCTTTTGTATGTATATGTTTACATAGTTTCTGTGTGTTGGACCACACTAGCAGCTGTGACAATAACCAACCGTCTAAACTACTCCAAACTGGAACATGGACACAGCGTAAAACTTCAAAGTTAGAAAAAAACTGGCTGCGTCTCAAATGCGCCCCTTCAACATCCACATATACCTGGCAAAATATACTGTGCAAACTCACTTTGTGTGTCAAAAAGGCAGAAAAAACACTTATTACCACTACACTTGGTACAAGCTAGCGGAAAAATGATCCCACACTAAGGTTCAAAATTTACCTTTTGAAATACCCTGGGGTGTCTACTTTAAGAAATGGTAGGCATTTGGTAGGAAATGGTAGGCATTTGTGGTGTAGTTTGAATCTAAACCCTGCTAAGATGCTTGGAAATTGCACATAGGCCCAGCGACAAAATTCAAAGTTCGGTAAAAACTGATATGGCTTGGTCTCCTATATGGCACTATAGCTTCACGAAATAGTGCCAAAGACATACAATGGGGGTGTCTTTTTACTCAGAAGACTTAGCTGAGCATAATTTGGGAGGTTTGAACTTAGTGGCACATGTGAAATATACAAAATGCAAAAATGCAATCCATGTGTACAAAACACACAAAATTATTTTTTACCACATACTTTGGCATATATTATTATAAAAATGGGGGGATGTTAAGGCACAATATGCACCTTTTGAGATACCCTGGCGTGTCTACTTTTACAAATGGTAGGCCTTTGTGGGGTTTTTGGAACAGTCAAACTGTTATAATACCCCAAATGGAAGCATAGGCTCATCAAATTAGTCTCTCAAAATTCTACTGTGAATACTGAAAAGGACAGGTCTCCTATATGGCACTGTAACTTCACGAGATAGAGCCAAAGACATACAATGGGGGTGTCCTTTTACTCAGCAGATGTAACTGAACACAAAATAAAACTTTGTACAGGAATAGCACACACCAACTTTACAAAATACAAACGAGAATTTCTTTGTTATAAGTTTGTGTGCCAAAAACAAACAGAAAATTTTTTTACTCCAATATTTAGCAGAGGTTGGCGGTGAAATGGCTATGTAGAAAGTGTCAAAACAACCCTAGGTATATAGCCTGTGATGTCTACTTTATATAAATATATACTTTTGTCTGGCAATTTTGTTTTCTTTTATGGCTATTAACCCCTTAAGACCGGAGGGCGTACAATTACGCTGTATTTCAGGCGGCTCTAAACGCCGCTGGGCGTAATTGTACGTCCTCCTGTCTTTCATTACTTACCCGGTCGCCGGCGGTCCCACGCCTGCGATCGCGGTGGGGGGACTCCCAGGGAGTCCCCCCGCGGCAGATCCTCCTCCTCCGGTGCCCCCCGGCCAT